TATAACGGATGTTATTTGTACGAAGGGCAGTTCGTAAACAGCACTTGTTCTTTTAATAAAAGAATGTTTTACAAAAAAAAAAAAAAAATCCAAAGAGACCCTGCTTTGTCTGGCTTTACTGAAGGGAAAGGGAGAGGGAGTGCCATCCGTGGGAGCCTTGGGAAGGGATCGGGGGTCGGGGGATGGTCAATGAACATTTCTTTAAGCACCTGGAATAGTAGTTCACAGACCAAAATGCACAACATACCCGAAATACCCTGCATATTGAAAACGCAGATACCTGTGCCCCACCCATAAGAATGTAATGTGTAGGCCTGGGCCAGGCGCGAATCCGATAAAACAAGCTCCCGAGGCGACGAGATGTGTCCGCACCGCGCTTCTAGAAGCACTGCCCTAAGGCTCCGCAAGAGAAAACGGTTCCGGTCAGGGTCCCCGCTCGCAAGTGGGGGGCCCGGGAGGCGCAGGCAAGGAAATGAGCGGCGATGCTCCGCGCGGGTCATTCGCAGACACGCGGGAACCAAAGGGGGCGCCGGAGAGCCCTCCACACCCCGGGGCCCCCTAGGCGGCTGCGGGGTCGGCTCCTCGGCCCGACTTCCGGCGGCTGGGGCTGGTCGGCTTGCGCAGGCCCGCGGCCCGCACCGCGCAAACCCCGCAGCGTCTTCCGGGCCGAGGCGGGGCCGGGCCGGTGGGAGGCGGGGAAGCGGGAAGGTGACCGGGGCGCGAGGCGGAGCCGGCGCGCTGGCGGCAGCGGGCCCGACATGGGCGGCGCCGGGGCGCTCCTGAGGCCGGCGGCCCTGGTGAGCAGCTGCGGCCCCGCCGGCCGGTCCCCACGACTCCCCTCCCGAGCCCGCCGCGCCCGCCCCTCAGCTGAGCGTCCCTCAAGCCCCTACGTCGCCTGGTCCTTCGCAGCCCTCCCTGAGCGCCCGCTGGGTGCCAGCACCTCCCCCAGCAACTCCCGTTCCTCTCTCGGGACCCCTTACTCTTACCCTCGTATTTCTCCCACTCGCCTAAGCCCTGTCGTCTCTTCCCTCCCAAGTGAGTTCGCTCTGGAAGTCTTCCGCTTTCCGTTGACTTTATATTTTTCTGTTTCCAAACCACCGTCTTGCAATGCCTGCTCGCCTTGCAGAAGCTGAACCAGAGACGGGACATCACCTCCTGGTTGGTAAGTACTACCCACCAATACCCCGTTTCCACTTCTCTCTGCCCTAGTCCCCCAGGCCCAGAGACCCCAAAGGTAGAGACCAGAGGAGGGAACCAGAATGGGTCAGCCCTGCTTTGCAGATTTCAGCCTGAGACTGCCTTGTCCATAGCTACCTTCCCGATGGCTCAGGGGAGATAGAGTGGCAGGGAGCAGGCTTCTGCCCTGAGAACAGCGGTGCCTGATAAACCCAGCCCTAGGTGCAGTTACCCCCCGCCTAGGCTGGCAGGATCCTGAGCCTCCCGTCCCTTGCACCCAGGTGAGAGCCAGGGTTTGAAAGGAAGGCCTGGACCCCGAAACCTATGTGCTTGCATGGCCTTGAAATCTCTTCTCTGTCTGGAGCTCAGGGGCCTTATGGTGTCCTGGGGGGAGTGTCCTTGCAGGGTGGCATCAGATCAGCCTCCTGCAGAGGAAGCCTGTCACCAGCCAAGGCTCTTGGGAAATTGGACAAGGCCACAGGCAAGAAAGTGCTTCCAGGGCATGAGCTGACCCTCACTCCCTCATCTTCTCTGCCACAGGCCCAATGGTTCCCCCAAACCCCAGCCAAGTCCGTGGTGGCCCTGAAAACACCCATCAAGGTGGAGCTGGTGGCTGGGAAAACCTACAGGTGGTGTGTGTGTGGCCACAGCAAGAAGCAGGTGAGAGACCTGTGTCCCCCTTCCCGTTGATATATGACAGCTGTGGCTGGGGACGCTACATGTTGCCCAGGAACTCCCACCCAAGACGTTCCTCTTTTTCCCACACATACCTGAGGGACAACAAGGGAGACTGGGGGGGAGGGATACTCTCAGGCCAGCGCCACTCACAGCCCTGAGCTCACCGCTCTCTGCATCCCTCCTTCAGGATGCAGCCAGAGAGACAGAAACTCAGTCCCGGGGCCGGTCGGGTGGAGCCAGGGTTCTGTCCTCCTCTTCCGGTGCTCCCTCCTTCTCAGAGGCTCCGGGCTCTGCCCTGTCTCTCTCTCCCCTCTCTCCTTCTTCCTCCTAGGAAGCACCTGGGTCAAAGGTTCCCAGGCCTCGGACCCCAGCATTGGGCAGACTTTGCACAGCCTCTCTGGCCCTGTGTGCCCCTTCCTGGCATCTGCTCCTGAAAACCCTCCCTCAGTTTCTGTGACTTCCCTGGTTTCTTGCTGTCTTGTCAGCCTGGCGGCCTGCTCCCAACTCCTTCTCTCTTCTGCTCCAGGAGCCTTTCGTCCAGCAGGAATCTGCCCCATATTCTTAGCCTCCGGGGTGCCTTTCTTTCTTGAGCGGGCTCTGAACTGTGCTCCTCCAAGCGGCATGGCGTGGTGTCAGCAGCCCAGGGCCCCGAGTCCCGCTTTGCCACTGATTTGCTGTGGACTTTGAGCAGGTCCTCACGGGGGTGGCGCTGTGCAGCCCACGGGTGAGGCCTAGCACAGGAGGGCCCTCTGTGCCTCTCTGCCTCTTGCCCTCTGGGACAGGTTGCTTATTTTTATCTGCACACTTCTCTCTTCCATTCTCCTATCCCACCCTGACTCCAAGGCCAAGAGGCCTTGGGTCCAGCTCTGCCACTAACTAACTAGCTAACCACCTCTCTGGGCCTGTTTCCATTACCCAGGAACACCTTCCAGGATGGAAGGGTATAGATGCTCACACCAGGCAGCCAGTTTGCTGTGGGACGTCCCCTTCCCCCCTTCCCAGTTATTTCCTGGAGCCAAACAAAATTGATACCCCAGTCTTAAAGCCCACCCAGAGAAGTTTTTACCCCAAGAATGTGGAGAAGGAAATGAATTTCATGAACCAATGGAGACTCAGAGCCATTAAAAAAAAACACAAAAAAAACACCTATCATCAGCGTAAACATGGCTGATACCTAAGGGCCCATTTCGCCTTGAAAATTCTGTTCTTGTGTCCTGGTCCTCTGGGGACCCCAGAAACTACTCCTGTAAAGACTCATACTTACTGAACACTTTCTACTGGCAAAGTGCATGATAACCATAATGTATTTTATTTTCTTGGGATGACGCTACTCTTTTTACTGTCACATTACAGATGAGACAGGTGTGGTAGCGAACACAGGCAGCATCACTTAGGAGTCTGGGCCCTGAGCCCCGTGTGCTGCTTCTCCCAGCCCTGCCCGGCCTCAGCAGGTGGGGTTGAGTCTCTAACTTTCTTTCTTTCCCTCACCAGCCCTTCTGTGATGGCTCCCACTTCTTCAAACGCACTGGCCTATCCCCACTCAAGTTCAAGGCCCAGGAGACCCGCATGGTGGCGCTCTGTACCTGCAAGGCCACCCAGAAGCCCCCGTACTGCGATGGCACCCACAGGAGTGAGCAGGTGCAGAAGGCAGAAGTGGGCTCCCCACTCTGAGGGGGCGGCTGCTGACCGGCCCAAGAAGGGATCACCCCAGGGACCCCAGTACCCGTAGCTGGCTCGTGAAGGACTTGCTCCCGTAACCCGAGGTCTCCAATCTGGGGTGGCTGGAACTGGCCCCTGCCCCAATGCCTGCTGGCAAAGACGGCATTAAATAGGTGTGCCGGCCCAGAGTGGCGTTCTTGTGGTCACTGGTGTGAGGGACATGACCGGTCCCCCTTCAGGATCTTAACATGGGCTGGGGACACCTGACTGGCCACAGGGAGGGGGCAGTTCAGGTTCACTCCATATAGGGTCCCCCAAGGCAGGCTGAGCCCAGAGACAAGAGGAGGAGGCCAGGGCACCCAGCCACCCTTTCCCTGTCCCCTCTATCCCAAAGAACTACAGGCTCTGGAGAGTATGCAGCATTTATTACAAAGCCAGGAGATACAGATGTCCCAGGAGGAGGATACAGCCATAGCACCTCAGACACAGGACGAGGTGTGAACACAGACAAACCCATTGGGGGACACCTGACCCCCAACACATAGGCTGTGATAGTCTTGCCTCCTCCCCTCGTCCCGATCTGACCTAAGTCCACTGGAGGAAAAACTGGTGGGCAGGGGTCTGTTGGGGTCTGCCCCTCAGGGGGCAGACCACTTGACTTCTTGGGATGGAGCTGAGGTCAGATCTCACAGGTTCTGTCTTCTTGTGCTTTTAGGTGCCTGTTGTTCTTTCCTGACTTGGCCTCAGCTGCGGGTGGGGAGGGCACTGGAGGACTGTTTGCCTTTGGCAAAATCTGGGGTCTGTGCTTATCTGAGGTCAACCCCCCCCTTCCACCTCTCCACTACAGGCCCCGAGGTGAGACGTCCCCACCCGCCTTGCTAGCGCGGGCTCCTGGGTGGGGGGCGTGGAAGAAGGGGCTGAAGCGGTTTGCAATGCAGACACCACAGTGGAAGTTCAAGGGCTGAGGTCTTCTGTGGCCTCAGTCTTCTTTTCCACAAGATAAATGATGCAAAGGCCACACACACAGGGGAAAAAAAAAAGGCAGGACTATCTATTACACAAAGTTTCTACTGCCCACTTGCTCCTCAGAACCAGGGGATAGGCTGCATTTGTGAAAGGCACTGTCTTAGCAATTCTCTGGACATTCAACAATGGTGGGGGGGAGGGTACTGGTCAGGGTCAGGGCAGGACAGCAGCCAAGATGGGGAGAGAAGCAGGGTGGACCTCATACACAGCCAGTTCGAGTCGTGCCTAAAGCTTTGGGGGTTGGTGGGGGCCCCTCCAACACCGCATATGCCTTGGGAAACAGAAGGAGGATGGGGCAGGGCTTCACCGAGCCTCAAGTGGCCCCACCAATCCACCTCTAGGCACCCCCAAAAAGAGCAGAGCAAATTACACAAGACCGCCTAAGATTGAGCACCCCATCCCCCACGCATACACACACACATCAAGTTTGTTTCCTGTGGCATTTAAATTAATCTGGTTGGTCCATAGAAAATAAGTATGTATATTTGGTTTTTCCTATGTACATATATATATAGATTTATTTATAAAACCCATCCCCGACCCCTAAGGTGGGGGGAGCTGGGGAAAGTAGAAGAGGTGGAAAAGGGGGCCCAGAAAAAGTGGAGGGGTGGAGAGGCATAGCTGGAAAAGGAGGGAGAGGGTCCCTTTCCTCAAGTTAAGGGGGGCACGGGAGCTCCGTTGACAGTCATCTTGCGCCCCCTGCTGGTGGAAGGCGGTGTCTGCAGGCAGTTCGAGGTGCCCCCGTTGGCAGCTGTGGTGGCCCCACTGGCTGTGGCGGGGGGCGTGGGGGAGGTTGGGTGGGGGGCCGAGGGGCCATGGGAGCTGGGAGAGCCATGGGAGGGGGTGGCTGGGCTGGGCAGGGAGGAGGAGGTGGCCGGCAGGGTGGCAGGGCTGGGAGCCTTGTCGCTGACTGACTCACACTCAGATGCCCCGCTGGTATTGGTGCCCTCGGAGGGGGTGGGCGCTGTGGGCAAGGTGAGCCGCTTGCAGGCTGGCTGGACGCGATACTTGAGGGGGAGAGGGCCATTCTGCAGGGAGAAGGGAGGGGAGGGTGTCAGGAGAAAGAGGCTAATGGGGCAGCCACCCACCTTCACCCCACGGCACCCAAACAGGGAGAAGGGAAGGTCCAGGCCTTGGAGAGGAGAAAGACTGGATAGAGAGGAGGAGACACGCGACGTGGGACTGACCAAGCAAGGCCGGAGAGACAGGGGCACACAGAGACCCAGAGAAGAAGAGAGCGCACGTGAGACCAGAGACAGAAAAAGGAGAGAGGGAGGCCAAAGAGCAGAAGGCAAAGTTCACTCCTCCACACCCAACTGGGGCACGTGGTCTGCCCAGGGGTCCTTTTCTCCTTCTGAGTGCGGAAAGTCATCAGTGAGAGAGCGTCCGGAGGCGTACCTGGTGTGTGGCAGGCCACCCTGGACATGTCCAGCTCATGAGACGAGGGATAAACTGTCTGTGATTAGAGCAGGGTGGCCCATGTGATGGCCCAGTGTCCCCTTTCGGCCCTGTCCCCTTGCTGGCACCACCCCACCCACTCACCCGCCGCCAGGGGTAGATGTAGGCGATGTCCATGAGGGTATAGTATTCCTTCAGCGGCTCGTCCTCATAGAGAACCTCAACCTGGAGGAGGAACGGGAGGACACAGCTCAAGCCTCCAGCTGTTTGGCAAAGAGGCTCCAAGCAGGTGGTCCCTCATTACTCTGGGGTTTCATGATGGATTCGACTTCCCTATCAGAGTTGTTCCAACATCACTCCTGACCAGCAGGTGGGAAGGGAAGATACCCACATCATCAACAGCCCCAGCCCCAGCCCCCCACACGGTGGTCTGGGTCCCCTTCTGTCTCTGGCATGTTCTCCAGAGGCGCTAACAGGCAAAGAAAAGGCCCAGGTGAGAAGGAACTTGTGGAGCAACGACTCTCACCCAGGCTGCACAGTGGAATCACACCGGTGCTTGGATCTCACTCCCAGAGATGGTTTTAACTGGTATGACATGAATCGAGTTTTAATCTCGACAGGCAACCCCTCACGTAATTCTGACATGTGGCAAAGTTTGGGATCCACTGTCCTAGAGCCTCAATAGTCCATGGACCAACAGCACCGGAAGCACCTGGGAGCTTGCCAGAAATGCAAAATCTACTCAATCAGAATCTTCATTTTGGGACTTCCCTGGCGGTCCAGTGGTTAGGACTCCGCACACCTCTAGGCACAGCCAAAAAAAAAAACAAACCTGCATCTGCATTTTAACAAGATCTCTAGGGGGTCACATACATATTCAAATTTGAGAAGCGACGTCCTCAAGTTCCTTGGCAATTTCAGACCAGCATTCCCACAGCCAGCTGGCCCAGGTAAGGCCCTGCATTTTTACACACACACCTCTGCCATAGTTCTAAACGTGCAAGCATGTACACACACACACACACACCATCTTGGTCTCCTGCACCTCTGCACACTGGCTTCAGCAGATGCAGACTGCCCCACCCCAATCTAGTTTTCAGTTACCCTTCTACACGGGCTCAATTACACAACCGTGCAGGCCCTTGGTGACACCCAGCCAGCCCTGAACAATGGCTGAGATGCACAGATTGTCAGATACATCCACACACGGACACGTTTTTCAAAAGGGCCCAGGGACTCACCTTGTACTTGCTGGGCACATCCATCTTGTTGCGGAGAAACTTGGCGAGATGCATGACAGTCATGGCTGCTGGGCATCGCAGGAAGCGCACCCCTGTCTGGTGGGGGAGAGGCACCCAAGGGCTGGGGTCCACCCCGGCACTCTCTCCCAGCCCACACCCCGCTCCTGGGCAGGCCCCAGCACTCACTTTCTCCTTGTCACCATCCCCATTTTCCAGGGGGCCCTTCTTCTCTTCCCGGTCCCTGCAGAAGGAGAAGGAATGAAGCAAGGGAGACCCTGGTGCAGGCAGGATCTAACTGCACACATCCGGAAGGCCCTCCTGGAAGCACCCTTTCCTCCCAGGGGAATGGGGACGGCATGGGAGAAGGGACCCAGCCTAGGACCCCAAAAGGACCAGGCACGGGCCAGACTTGCCTGACGCCTTCATAGAACTCGATGGAGAGGCTGACAATCTCATCGTCGCTCAGAGCCCCCTTCTCCTGTTCCAGAACCTCACCACGGTCCTCGTTGGAGCCGTTGGGAACTGCGGAAGGAGAGAGCTCTGAGGCGTCGGCCTAGGAGCGGGGGACAGGAGCCCCACCAAGGACCCAGGGATCTCAGAGCTCAGTGCGGTGAGCCCAGCCACCCCTGGGCTGGGGAGGCCGTGTGCGGTGCCCACCGGCCCTCCATGCATCTGGCCCTTATACCTGGGGCAGCACCATGCGCACACACACGTGAACACACTCACCTTCTGTCAGGGGGTAGGCTGCGTAGAAATCCCGCCTCCGTTTCATCTCATCTAGAAGAGAGGGAGCAGGCTGAGGCGGGGGGCAACACGCTTGGGCAGTGGCGGGGGGGGGGGGGGGGGGGGGGCAGGACAACGAAGGGTGTAGGTACCTTTAAAAAGCCCAGGGACCAATTTGTAGACGATGTCTTGAAGGGTTTTGTCAGATCTGGAAAGAAGTACACAGGGGCCTGCTGGCAACCACGTCACCCCGACTCTCCAGCCTGGGGCCCCTTCTTCCCACCTCCCTTCCTGAGACCCAGGGCCCAGGCATGGGGGTCCCTAGAGGCCTTGTCTCTACCTCTCTAGAATTTCTCAGCTGGATACACCCCTGAGGGAAGGAAGGGGATTCGGTCCATGCCTGGTGCTTCTCTACCTGCCACCCTGGCTTCAGGAAGCAAGGAGGGCTGGGGGACAGAGGGCAGCTGCCCCAGAGAATGGGCGGGGACAGGAGGAAGTGCTGGGCCCACCTGATGCTCAGCAGCGGCCGGGTTTTGTGGACCTGTACATCGCACATGGGGCAGTACTTGTTGGTCTCCAGGTAGCGCACAATGCAGGTTTTGCAGACTTGGCGGAGGGGTGTGGAGAGAGGAGGAAGAGTCAGAGTCCCCTTCATCACCCAGGACCAGCCCCCATGCCCCCTGCTCGGGTTCAGGTATCCCCTCTTCTCCACCTTGTTCCCGCAGCTCAGGCCTGTTCAAAGACCCAACATAGTCCTGTCTCGCACAGATGGCAACTACCCCTTATCATCCATCCTTGGGGGAGGACAGGTG